GTGTATTTTATTAAAAAAAAAAAAAAATATTCATTCTTTTCACATTTCTTACACAATACATTGTTTATTTTTGCATCTAAAAAATAGAAATTATTATATATGAACTAACTAAATCTACTTCTTTCGCTCATATGGAAATTTATAGACGGGTGCACTCTCCTTAGTGCCAGGCTTTTCTTTCTTGGGCTTGAGGAGACGTGGCTGCTTGAGCGCATGTTTCATCTCCAGCTTCTCCTGAACAATGGTTAGCTCGCGTACCCGCTGCTCCCGCTTCTTTAGCTCACTCAGCAGCTGCTGTTTGTGGGTTCGGGTGCCCGTCTCCTGGAGGAGTTACAAGATGTATGTATTACTTATTATATTATACATATGGATGTACATTACAAAACTACTCACTGCATTTTCGCTTGCTTCCAGACGTTCGCCCAGCGTGGCGGGTGGCGCTGCCTTCCGGACACCATTCTCATTGAAGATGTATCGTTTGTTTTGGCCAGCTGTGCTGTCCACATCGACAAGCGCGGCACGCAGGCGCTCCAGCTTCCGTCGCTCCATGGTAAGCTTCATTATGATGTACTTGAGATCTTGGGTCTGCATGAGCGCCAGCTGCTCAGGCGTGTGTTCGTCCTTGGCCTCCTTCTCGTGATGCACATCGTCCTTGAGCTTCGAGTTGATCATGTGATGGTAGAACTCATCAGGATTCTTGTTCATGGCCCGCTTGTGGAGCAGCTTCAGAGTCTTCTCCTTGTGGTGGGCATCGTTCGAACGCTTCTTATAATCCTTCTTCTTCTCAAGCAGGCCGAGATGCTTGCGCGCCTCCGGCTGGTGGCGCTCGCGATGCACCTTCTGATTGCTCTTCGATGCCTTCTTCCATGACGACATTATGTATGTATTGCAGAAATGCAAGCAAACAATTGTTTATTAAAAAAACGTGCAGCCCGCAACAGATACTCAAAATTGCGTTTACATAAATTGTAGAGCATAAATGCGTTGTGGTTATCTGTCTATCGATTAACAGCTGTTTTGCGCGCAAAGAGCCATTTACATCTATCTGTATACTATTTGTTGTTTACTGCCAGCTGTTATTGAGAATAGTCGACTATCCCGAAATTAATTTTATCTGTATTGTCTATCAACAGTTTGTAACGACACCTGTTGCCTGTGTTACACGATCACCAAATAAATAAATATTTTCAACTGTTCAGTTGGTGCTATAATATAATAATTTACACATCCATTTTCTATAATAACTGTATCGATAATTGAAATTAACAGCTTATGTTACTGGTGGAGTCTTCTGCTAAGTAGAGGAGCTGAAACGTTCGCGCTTAACAGTACTGTGAATCGCACGTGTATTTAAACTGCTAGATTTGAGCGATTTGAATAATCCAGCTATAGTTTAAATCATACCGGCATATTCAATTAAAGCAAAATGGTGAAGAAGAAAATAGACAATCGCATTCGCGTTATGATTGAGAATGGTGTCAAGCTGGGGCATCGTACCATGTTTGTCATCATTGGCGACAAGGCCCGTGACCAAGTGCCCATTCTGTACGACATTCTCATTAAATCCACCGTAAAGGCTCGCCCAACTGTGCTGTGGTGCTACAAAAACAAAGACGAAGCCATTTCCAAGTAAGTAATGGTTCAAACCTTATTTAATACTGATAGCTCATGCCTGCCATGCTATGTTTCAGTCACGGCAAGAAGCGTGCTAAGAAAATCGCTCATGGTAAAGTGGACGTGAATGAGGTGGATCTATTCGATGCCTTCCGCGTAGCAACCACAATACACGGTCGCTACTACTCTGAAACACACGCCATACTGGGACGAACCTATGGAGTTTGCGTGCTTCAGGACTTCGAGGCACTCACGCCCAATTTGCTGGCGCGGACCGTGGAGACTGTCGAAGGTGGCGGCCTAATCATATTGCTGCTGAAGACAATGCAGTCACTCAAGCAACTGTACACCATGAGCATGGACGTGCACAAACGCTTCCGCACCGAGGCCCACCAGACAGTCACCTGCCGCTTTAATGAGCGCCTGATCCTGTCCCTGGCCGACTGCAAACGCTGCCTGGTGGTCAACGATGATCTAACCGTGCTACCACTGAGTTCCAAGACCATAAATGTGCAGCCGGTGAATGTAAGAATTGGATTGTTAAGATTATCCAAACGAGAACAAAAATTTGCATCTCATGTATTTCGTTTATTTAGCCAGCGGACGTTGCGAAATCGGAGAATGACACCAACTTGAGAGAGCTGCAGCAGAGTCTGTTGAATGTGCAGCCTGCCAGCGCCCTGGTGAGTCTCTGCAAGACCTACGACCAGGCCCATGCAGTTGCCCAGTTCATTGACGCGCTGGTGGACAAGCAGCTGAAGCCTCCAATGTCACTGACCGCCGCTCGTGGACGCGGCAAATCCGCTGCTATGGGTCTGGCTATAGCTGCAGCAGTCTCGTTTGGCTATGTGAACGTGTATGTCACCTCGCCTCATCCCGAGAACTTGATAACGCTCTTTGAGTTCGTGCTCAAGGGCTTCGATGCGCTGGAGTATCAGGAGCATGCGGACTACACCATAATACGCAGTACCAATCCGGACTTCAAAAAGGCCATCATACGTATCAACATAACGCGCAACAGCCGCCAGACCATACAGTATATAGCGCCCAGCGATACGCACCTGCTGAATGCCGCCGATCTGCTGCTGATCGATGAGGCCGCGGCCATACCCTTGCCGCTGGTCAAGAAGATGATGGGCCCCTACCTGATATTCATGGCCAGCACCATCAATGGTTATGAGGGCACGGGCCGCTCGCTGAGCCTGAAGCTCATCGCTCAAATACAAAAGGACAACAATGCGCGGCCACCGCTGACGCTCAACGAGTCGATCCGCTACAGGTGCGACGATGACATCGAGCGGTGGCTCATCAATCTGCTCTGCCTGGACACGAGCAATGTGCCAGTCGTTAGCTCGGGCTGTCCGCTGCCAGTGCTCTGCGAGCTCTACTATATCAATCGGGATGCTCTGTTCTCGTACCACAAAGCCGCGGAGACCTTCCTCAATCGGTTGATGTCCATCTACGTGTCGTCCCACTACAAGAATACGCCCAACGATCTACAGATGATGAGCGATGCGCCCGCTCATCATTTGTTCTGCATGCTTGCCCCAGTGCAACGCATGGATCAGTTGCCAGAGATTCTAGTGGTCATCCAAGTGGCCCTCGAGGGACAAATCTCGTCACAGAGCATTAACGATTCGTTGGGGCGCGGCAAGAAGGCTGCCGGTGATTTGATACCCTGGAACGTGGCCGAGCAGTACGGAGATCGTGATTTTCCCAAGCTATCCGGCGTACGCATCGTCCGTGTTGCGACACATCCCAACTATCAGCGCATGGGCTACGGCAAGAGGGCAATCGCCCTATTGAAGGACTACTACGAAGGCTGCTTCACGAATGTGGATGACAAGCCGGAGAAGATTAATGACAAAGGTAAGTCGAGATTGACTATATTACTTAATTACTAAAGCTAATGCTCTGCTTCGCTGTCTAGTTGGCATTGAAGAGGTGGAGGAGGAGGAGCTGAGYCTGCTCAAAGAGCAGATTCGTCCACGCAAACGTATTCCAACGTTACTCGAACGCCTGCACGAGCGCATGCCGGAGCGTATTGATTATATAGGCACCTCATATGGCCTGACTGCAGAGCTACTTAAGTTCTGGAAGAACGTCGGCTTTGTGCCCGTTTACCTCAGCCAGAAGGCCAACGAGCTGACCGGCGAGCACAGCTGCATCATGCTGCACACACTGAAGCGAGCGCCCAGCAGCTGGCTGCCTCTGTACTTCCACGACTTTCGCCGGCGAGTGCTCAAGCTCATGGCGAAGACTTTCCGCGAGTTCGAAACCAAACTGTGCCTGGCGCTGCTCAAGAACAAGTCCGTGGATGACTCCAGCACAACGATCGCCAAGCTAGACAAGCCCACGCTGGACGTTTACTTTCTGCCGCACGATCTGCAGCGCTTGGAGAGCTATGCACGCCAGCAGTCCGAGTTCCGCCTGATCATCGATCTGCTGTCCGACATCGCCCAGCTTTATTTCCAGGGTCGCATCGAGGGACTCCAGCTGGATCTGGTGCAACAGAGCGTGCTGTTGGGCCTGGGCGTGCAGGGCAAGTCGGTGGACCAGATAGCCGCCGAGCTCAACATGCCGGGCAACCAGTTGCTGGCCAAGTTCTTTGACGCCATGAAGAAGTGCAATCAGTGCTTCCGCACGGTGCTCGAGGAGCACATCGAGGGTGGCATGCTACAGGAGTCGCAGCTGCCGCGTGGCGAAGAGCTGCAGCCGCTCTCGCTATCCATTGACCAAGAGCTGGAAAAGACAGCGCAGAAACTGACCAAGCAGCAGCGCAAGGAACTGAAGCGCCTGAAGGCCGAGGCGACATTCAACGAATACCAAATCAAGGGCAGCGAAGAGGACTGGTCCAAGGCGCTCGAGAGCAATGGCAAGGACGCGACTATTGGTGCTGGTAGCGGTCTACTTTCGGTGAAGAGGTAAGGTAGCTATCAATTAGAAAGAGATAGCAACAGCACGCGCTGCTCTTGCTCGCTCTCTCTCGCTTTGTATTGTGCATAAATGCAATTTCATTTCGATCTCTTCCACAGCGGAGTCAAGCGTCTTGACGCGACTGTAGAACCTCCTGATGCGAACTTGGGACCACCACAGACGAAAAAGAGCAAAAAGAATCCTAAGTTGAAAAAGGGCGCGGGCAAGTCGCTCATTTAGTGGGCACAGTTGGGGTAGATCTATATTTATAAGGTTTCTTCAATAAAAAATAATGGAGAGTTGACGTTAACTAAATCTTGATGGTGTCACTATTGGCTTTAGCCGCGGCGGCCGCCGCCTTCCGGCGATCGCGCAGCTCCTGGAAGCTAACGCCGGGTTCCTTGTGGGAGCTGCGTGGGAAACGCTTCACCTTGGCGCGCTTGCGTTTGACAGCCACCGTTGTGGGCAGCATGTTGCGCTTTTGCAGCAGCTTGAAGCGGTCGGTGAGCAGATTGCTCTCGGTCTTCACATTGCGCAGATTGCCAGCCAGATCTTCGGGCATATTCACATCCAGGTCGGGCTCCTCGAACTTGTGCCGGCCCAAGCGTTTCGTCTCGTACTTTTTGCGCTCCGCTGCCGCTTTGCGGCGTTTCTTCAGGTCTTTCAGCTCTTCGGCCTCTTCTTGCACCTCAGCGCGTATGGATTTGATTCTGTAAGTAAATTACATTTTAGCTATGTGGTTGCATTTCTCTAGTCCATGTTCCTTACCTAATTAGATCTGCGGTCTGTTTCTTGAGGGCCTTTTTGGCCTCATGCTGACGCTGCAGCTTCTTTTGCTTAAGCTCCTTGTTACGAGCCGCCTTGCTCTTCTTCTTGTTCTCGACGGGCGCATTGACTGTAGAATAGCTGTTGTCGGCAGACTTCGGATCAACCTCATCCTCTGACTCCGGCTCACCGTCCTCCTTGATGCCCTCGCTCATCTCATCGAGACGGCGCTTGTCGCGCTCCTCGGGCGTCACCTTGCTGAACATGGTGGTGGTGACGCGCTTGAGATGCTGCTCCTTCTTGATAATGGATTGCTCACGCTCAACAACTTCCGCCAGCAGCTCCTGGTGCGCCTTCAGCGAGGGATTGTAGCTCATGCCTGGATGCGGCGCCTCAAACTTTCTGTAGACGATAAATAAAGAAATCATCATGAACGAACATTCGCTTTGTTGCTTCTTTGCAACTCACTTGGCCTTGGTTGTCTTGTGGTGCAGGCTGGCATGCGTTTTGACCACCTTGCGGCCGATGTTGCCAGCAACGTGCAACGCTAGATCGCGACTGATCCAGCCCTTCTCATCCTTGAGGCCGGGTATTTTGTCCCTAAAGTCCTCCTCCTGCCAAATATCCTTGTCGATTTTAGGCAACTTTTTGCCACTTTCTCGCATAGCCAGTTCCTTATCGAGTTTCTCGTAGTAGAGCCCGCGATCTGTGTTCGCCTGTCGATGTCTGGGCTTGGTTGGATTACAAACCTCCATCTCTATGTTGCGCCCGCTCTTCTTCTGCCTCACATGGTTTCTGTGGCATGGAATCATTTATAGTTGCTGTTTGTTTGTGCTAGGGCAGCTCACTTACCGCTTTACAATCGGATCCTGCACCTTGGATGTGTTCTCCAGTGCCTGATGAGAGCGCATAGGCTTTAACGCATTTAATTTGCGTTTCTGCTTGATTGTCAGCTGGCTGGGCGCAGTCTTCAGTGGCGAAGCATCCACCACGAACAGATCCTCATCCTGTTTGTCTGTAAAGGTGCTACATTCGGGCGAGGCGGCATTAACATAAACTCGTGGTGCGAATTGTTTACCGTTTGCTTTGGCTTACCCGATGCGCTCTTCTTGGCGTTGGTCCTCTAGAAACTGTTCAACATCTTGTATGTCTATCTTGCGCCAAGCGGCTTTGTTCTTCTTTGAAATGCGCTTCCTTTTGGTAGCAGGTTCCTGCGCAGCCATGGCGCCAATAGTTCCAAGTAATTCCTGCCGCAACGAAAACAATACTTCAATCCCAACACGTGCAAGCCGCTGGGCGATGCACAGCACTAGATGTGAACTGAACGTATGCCGCGTGTTTACCAACACTAGCACTTGCAGCGAATGTTGTCAATCAGCTGTTTTGTGGGCCACACACGCTTCGATTACAAACGACCGCAGCTGCGAATGCTATAAATCACAATATAATGCAAAAATCTGTGTTTGAAAAATTATGTCAATATGTGGCACACCAAATATACAGCGCACAAGGCATCAACAAGCCAGATCACTTAATCAAAAGAGCTAGAAAGAGCTCAACTAAAAGCTGAAAATTTCTCTAAATAACTTTTTGGACTATAAGAGAAATGTTTCTATAATTTGTCAATCAATGTTATGGATTAGAATTTGGGTGTAGGCAAGCCCTTCTAACTAACAGTATGAAGTCATTTGATAAGAAAATGCAATGTAGTACAAATAATTATAAAAAATAATACATACATATATATTGTATATACATACAACGCCAAGGTATTAATAGTTAGACCGGCAACACTGCTCACACTGCTGCCACAGCTGATTTCTGGATGACCCACACACACAGCAATGGGCACACACACACACCATAATTGAGTGATAGCCATTTAGCAGTCAGTGCAGGTGCACATGCACACAGAGCGGTTTGCTTATTATTGTACAGTTACGTTTGCTTATCTCCGCCGCTTGGACGTGTTGATTGGTTTTCTTCAAAACAAAAATTTGGCGGAAAATTTGAAGGCAGCATACCATTGGCCGCGGTCAACTCAGATATACACACATACATACATGTATGTATATATTATATGTATATATGTGTGTAGCTTGACCGAAGACTCATATTAAGCTCACACGTCAGATCTTCGCTTGGATGTAAATCGATCTTGTCGCCGATACAAATAATTTTAGTAAACTAACATTCGCATGCACACACACACATACGTACATAGCTGCACTGGTTGACGTGTACCTCTCGCAGTAGTAGTTTACTTCATTTAGACGCGCCTGTTGATTACACATTATCGAATTGCCGTGTTTACACAATAGTTTTATAAATCGCCATCAATTTTCAAGAGCCGGCACAGTAGAAGCCCAGCAGTCGACACGATGAGCGCGCCGACATTTGCCGACATATCTGCCAAGTTCAATGAAGCCACCTTGGACGAGATCATTCAGAATGCCGGCGGCACCAAGCACACCTCGTACAAGTTCGGCGCAGGAGGTAAGAAGGGAGACTCTTATCTGAGTCGAGTGTTCCGGCTGTGTGTGTATGGCGTCAAGGAGCCCGAGGGCGAGCAGCTGGAGGTGAATGTTATTGTCAAGGGCATGCCGGACAACATGCATAGGCGTCGGGTGTTCCGCTCTACGGACTTCTTCCGCAACGAGATACATTTCTACACTAAGATCATTCCCGCCGTGGAGGCTTTCCAGGCGTCGAGGCAGCCCAAGCCCAAGAAGCCTTTCGTCGAATATCCCAAGTGCTATGCATCGTTGTGCGATGGCGCCAACGATTTCATTGCTCTCGAGGATGTGGGCTTCCGTGGCTATCGGTCGCCCGATCGGTAGGTCGCCGATTCCCTCTTGCTTCCATAATTTAAATCATCTTCTTTCAGCCAGAGCTATATCGCGCTGGAGGACGCGCTACTCACCATGCGCACCCTGGGCCGTTTTCATGGCGTGGCATTGGCCTTCAAGGCGCTGGATGCGGACAACTTTGAGAAGGCCGCTAGTGCTCTGGAGGAGACCTACTACGGCGAGCACACGCGTGAGTGGTACTCGGGCTTCCTGCAGGTGGCCGAAAACGTTGCCCTCGACGCAGTTACCAAGACATTGCCCAACACTAAGTACGAGACTTTGGCCACCAATTTCCTGCAGCCGCAGCTGTTCGATGATATGATTAATCTGGTGTCCACTCGCTCCAAGCTGAGTGTCTTTGGCCACGGCGACTGCTGGACGCCCAACTTTCTCACACGCTACGGCCAGGACGGCGCTCCACAGGAAATCATCATAATTGACTTCCAGCTGGCACGCTGCGCCTCCCTGGCACTAGACATCAGCTTCTTTATATACTCCTGCACCAGCCAGCAGCTGCGCGAAGAGCACTACGATGATCTGTTGCGCGCCTACTTGGAGAGTGCCCAGGCGCTCATTACGGATCTGGGCGGCGATGCGGAAGCGGTCATCTCCTGGGAATCGTTGCAGGAGGAGCTGAAACAGTTTGGTCGCTTCGGCGTTGGCATGGGCATCGAATCACTGCCGATGTCTCTTATCGAGGACGACGAAGTGGCCGATCTGGAGGGCATTGTCGAGAACGCCGTGCTCACTGACGTCTGGAACATAAAGCCCTTCGAGCAGCCCGCCAAGCGGCAGCGCATCGCCGAGATTTTCAAGCATGCCGTTGACCAAGGCTACATCAAGTAAGCCAACGAGGCATCCACATAAACGTGGAGTGCGTCGTATATTTACAGACATATGCAAATGTGTACCTGTATACCCTGTATCTGTATTTCGGCTAGCGGGTAATAAACTCGACTGCTGTCTATTATTGTTCTTTATCTAATATGATCAAATAAATATATATATTTTTATGAATAGAAATTATAGATACATATAATAATTTATAGTGCTGAGATTTGTTGATGAAATTTTAGTACACAACAAAAATGGTTCATGAAAAGACTAAGCCAGTTCACGAACCACACAGAGCGTTGCTTGAAATCGTAAATAGATCATGATTAAATTCATAACCTACTTTATGCTTTATGTAAAGTTTAGGTTACGTGAAATTTATAACAGCATGTGAATAGTTAGAAATTCCCTTAATGGAATGTATGGTACTATCACTTTCTATGTGGGAACACAGCTAGAAACTGTTCCCAGCTCTAGAAATTTCTAAGGCGCCTAAAAATATGCTGCAAATGATGTAAGTCAAGGTTGTTTGTACTGGATATTCAACAGAAGAAATAAAGTTTTAAATATTTAATTTTCATCATATAAATATTTATGGTTTACACTAAGGAGCTCACGAGAAATTCTGAGCATATTGTATGGACTAGCAACAAAAGCTTATATATATGATAAGGTAAATACCCGCTAAGACTAACAAATGCGTCTGTCCATTTAGCTCTGGCAGCAAGAGAAATTTACAAGGTGTAAACAGAGTGCTCTGGCTGGCAGAGCTAAATCACCCCTAAAAATCAGCAAAGTTCACAATGTCAGATCGTCATCAGCGTTCGCTCTTCTGACCTCGCTCGCAGAGGGAGAACGCTCTGAGTCGCTCTCTTTGACGCTTTGTGCTGAGAGCAGTGCTGTCAACTTTTCCGGGCAGGAAAATGCTAAATTAACCTTTCAAACCTGCTAGAAACGGCTAAATCAAATTCAAGAATAGGAGAAATACAGCCATTTCAGGTTTTATACCCTGAACCCAATGGGAAAACAGGGTATAAATGCCAAATTTCCCGCTAGCACCTAGATTACAATTTTTCCTGCATTTGACAGTTAAAAAAGGCCAGATCTGGCCGGTAAAAGGCTATGTTGGCATCCCTGGTTGAGAGGCAGCGCGACAGTGTTGACAACGACAAAAGAGTAGAAGCTAGTTTCAAATAAAAATAAGCCTTATTTGTTTTATATAACTTATAAACTGTATAATGAAAATATATAAGAGCTTTGAGTTTTTCTTAAATTTATATATTTCTTTGTTAAGCATTTGAAAATTAATATCATATACATATAAGCATATACGTAAATATAAAATTTTAATAA